TTTAGCAACGATAAAAAATTGTGATTTATTGAAAAATTTTGAGATCCCATTATTTTTTAATTACTAGGGAAATTGTTCAATAATGTTTAAAGTCATCTTTTTAACGATTTTAAAACTTAATCACGTTATTTAAAGATAAGCAACAAGAACAAAGAGGTCTTAGGGAAAATAGCAACACAAAGAACAGTCCAGACTCCGAATCAGTAAAAGACAGCTGAAATTCCTTGGACACATAATGAGGAAGGAGGGTTTGAGAAATTTAACGGCAAGGAGCATATTGAGGGCAAGAGAGAGACGAATGCAGAGCTTGTGTCAATGGATGACGGAACGCAGTGGAGGAACTGCGAAGAACCACAAGGTAAAAAAAGTTGTGGAGAGCCATGATCGCTTATGTCTTAAAAGGACGCAGCACATAGATGATGATGATGATGATTTGGGTGGGGGACAAACAAGTTGTCTCTATTTTCTCACAAATCCAAATAATACGTCTTCCTCTCTCACAAAAAAGAAAATAATATTTTTTTTTAAAGAATAGTCAAATTAACGTTTTTAGAGATTTTATTTTTTAGTCATTTTATTTTACGAGTCAAGAATTTAGTTATTGGTAGTCCTAAAATGCATTTCTTTCTTACGTCAAACACTTTGAAAAAAGAGAAAAAAAAAAAGCCAAGCTAGAAATCAGATATTTTTTAGCCGGGTATTTTTATTTATTTTATTTATTTATTTTATTTATGTATCTTACGATGTGTTCAAGACTTTAAATTGCTGTCACTTCTGCTATGTATTTCATTTTTAGAGATTCTTGATAAAATTCAAAGAATCTGCAATGTTATTGGTCCTGACCTGGCATCTCAGTAACTTTCCCACCACCTTAACGTAGCTTCCCTATGCTTTTTCTATAAATATTTCCATGGTAATTGTTCTGATGAGCTTTCATCTTTAAGCAAATTGTACATATGGAGACTAATTAAAACTTCATGAAGATACTGTGGTATTATGGTGATTGTTGTAAGAATGGTAAGTAAGAATGTGTTTTGGTGTAAGAAACATTGCAGTTTGTATGGGTCAGTGATTCTGGCTAGCTTAATTAAGACAGTTTGAAAACCAGCCTCCCGCATCTCTTCATGGCCATGTGCTACATGTTTTTGCATATTACAGAAATAAATATTACTTTCCTCTTTAGTACCTTGATTTTACGAATTTAAGCGCAATACTAGATTGGTAGCAAGGTTTCCTCATTATAAAGTTGAAATGGCTAGTAACCGTAAGTTCTATGCTAACAGTTTCTTCTCTTGCACTTCTCACTTTGTGGAACTCTCTTCCAGCTTCTTACTTTCCTGTCAACTTTGATCTCCAAAATATTTAAATTCAATGTTAGTTGTTACATTTTGCCTTTTTAATTTCTGTTCTTTCAGCGTTCTCTCACCTTAATAATGTTCTTGTTTTTCTCATATTCTTTCACTCAGTAACCACTTGCGTCTTAGCGGCTTTGTTTAGGGTAAAATGATACATCACGACTATCTACAGCATCCTTTTCTGTAGACTGCACGGTGTCGGGATTATTTTTGAGAAAGTGATTTCACCCGTTGTCTTCTCAAGAATTCAAACTTGGCTTTCTCTGAAAATGGATGCCGACCAAGGCTATAGACGACAGTCTGCCCTCCTTGGGGGGGTACTATGTAAATTTACTGTACTTTGATCCCCACTATGGAATCCAAAACAAAATATGCTCATACAACGTGATTTTAATCACAGCACCACGACAACGCGAATTTCATAACGCTTAACTCCGAGTCATGCTATCAACGTAGATTCACTAATTATTAGTTATATATACTTAACTGTTATATAACATTTAGCACACTGTGTGTATATATATATATATATATATATATATATATATATATATATATATTATTTATTTAAAAATATCTTCAAGCAAATTTTTTTTGTTCGCTTGAAGATGGAACAGGGCTTGGTACTTTAATTCAATTTAATTCAAATAATTATATTGACGTTTTCGACTTTTGTTTTGAAACATGAGAACTCTTATGTAGCGATGGAATCATATTTTTAAATAATTATATTTAGGCTCTCCTTTTGTATCGAGCACTGTTTTTTTTTTTTTAAATAATAACAAAAATACTAAAGAACTTTGGATTATTTACCTAACGAGTTCTTTCCTATTTTCTATATATTTTTACACACACACACACACACACACATATATATGTATGTATGTGTGTGTGCAAGTATATGCGTGTATACTGTACATGTTTTTAATTTTATTTCATCATACATCTCTCTCTCTCTAATTGGAAATTGATAATGTGAAATTCCTTTTTCTTCTTATTACTCTACTGTCGATTAATCTTTCTAGACTACAAAATAATTTTATTTAAAAATCACGTTGTATGATGACCATATTTGTTTTGGCTTCCTTAGGGAGATCAAGTTATAGAATGATTTTTTTTTTTTTTTTTTTTTTTAAGATATTAAGGATGAACAAACATTTTGAAAGAAAATATTAATTCTGGTTTCTGAATTAGGGAAACTGAGGAAGACTTGAGGGAAAATAAAAAAAAAAAATACGGATAACAGAAAACCAACAAGAAGAGACTTAGCGTCATTTGATCTTCTTCAGTGAATGGCGCCTTGAGGGTCATCTGCTCTCTCAGCTGGTGTGTAAAAAAAATAAAAATAAAGTGATCGCTTTTCGTGAAATTAGATGGTAGTTTATATTTTAATTTAATTATAAAATAATGATAATTTTTGTTTTATAACTGTTTTTAATATTTAAGCCTGTATAAATTTTTAAGATAATGAGGGAGAGGCGAGGCGCGAATTTTTGCCTCAAAGTAAAATAAAAGATCATCACCGAGTAAAATCCAGAATATATTCGCAGTATTTATTTTTTTGCCCAATATCGCCTTACCTAACTTATCTATTTGAACCACAAAAAAGCCTTTTTATTTTTAGTTTGTTTTATTTTTAATACAAAAGAAATGTCTACTCATTGCCCCCCCCACTCAATTACATTCCGAAATTTAAAGAAAATCATTTTAAAAGAATATATGTACATAAATAAAACAAAAAAAAGAACTTAAAATTAAACAATCAGAATTTTAACCTGGAAAATAGCATTTTTTACTTTTTTTTTTTTTTTTTTTTTTTTCCTTTTTAATTTAAAAAAAAGGAATAATTTATTCAGGTGAAGATATAAAACAAAATCACCCACACTCCGATACGAATCCAGGTAAAAAAAAAAAAAAAAATCACAGAAAAAGAAAAAAAAAAAAAAGCACAATGTTAGCACTGTTTCTGTGTCTTTTTTTTTTTTTTTTTTTTTTTTTTAACCCTACCCCAACCTTGAAGACAGCGTGAGTAAAGGAAATCTAGGATCTCAGTCTTTGTGAGTCAACAATACTTGGATTTATTTAGAGACTTTAGAGAAAAATAATTTTGACGCCTCCTGTCCTAAAAATTATTGACAGTATAATAAGCGTGGTTAAAAATTCTGCTACAATTACGTGGCCGGTAATAAAATCACAAAAAAAAATATGTCACAACTTGTTTTTGTTTTGTGTGTGTGTGTGTGTGTGTTCAGCAAAGCCAAGTTGTAGCATTTTTTTCTGTGACTTTACTGGCCACGTAATATACAGGTTTTATTTCTTCGCGCCCACGTCGAGATTTAGAGTGGGAACTGCAATACCGGGGTGTGGGGGGGAAATGCCCAGCCCCGTTGGTACTTCCCCTTTTGGGGACACCTCAGGCGCCGTGCAATAAACTTCTTAGCCCTCACCCGTAGGAGAGGTACTGCCTGTGGGGAAGGCCCCCCACCCCTTGAGCTTGGGCTTAAAACTAAAGAAATATCCCCGCTAAAGCCCGGGATTTCATATACCACCGGCCACGTAATACAACCGATTTCTTTCAGTTTATATCGCTAGTTGTTACTAAATTATGACTTAGACTGTGTAGGATGCGCTATCCTTTACCGTTTATGAAATGGTAAATTTTCATTTTAACACCGAGCGTCATTCACTGCTGAACTATTTTCTTTCAGAAATTAGTACGCGCATCCTTAAAGCGATCTTTTTGTACTTAATTTAAGAAGAAAGTTAACTTTCAAATATATGTAAACATCGACAAATAAAATTTTAAAAAATAAAAGAATAACCAAAAAAACACCTAACTCTAATTTGAAAGTTAACTTTCTTCTTAAAAAAAAAAATAAAAAAAATAAAAGAATAACAAAAGAAAAAAAAAAACACCTAACTCTAATTTCAAAGTTAACTTTCTTTTTAATAAAAAAAATAAAATAACCAAAGAAAAAACACCTAACCCTAATTTGAAAGTTAACTTCTTAAAAAAAAAAAATTACTTTGTTATTCTTTTATTTGTCGATGTTTACATATATTTGAAAGTTAACTTTCTTTTTAAATTAAGTACAAAAAAAAAAAAATCGCTTTACGGAAGCGCGTACTAATTTACTGTGAAAATTGTATACGTCCACCAACAAAATTCAGCACTGAATTACTTATCAATAAGCCGGTAATGGTTGACGAAAGACCAGGAAAAAGTCCGATTTTTTTCGGGTCGTTAAGTTCCAAAAATGTAGGTTTCTTCAATATCTAATTGTTGATTTGAGTTCAGCATATACATTTGCACGGAAATAAGACTATTTTGGAAAAATTTGAAAGGATGTTAGCGCTCGGGTGTCAAAATGAAAATTTACCTATGAAATGGTAATGGAATTATCAGAACCGTTTCCTTATAATAAGAAAACATTCAGCATTCATTAACCGAGCAGCCAGTACTAATCGAGTTACGCTTTTTTTTTTCACACAGTTGACGTCATGTTGGGATTAAAAAGTGTAGTATCTGTTCTCTTCATCACTAATAGTAATGATAATATTAGCTGTTTCCTTAAGGAAACATTCACCATTCACTGACCGAGCAGCCAGTGCTGCTGTCAGTTGAAATTTATAAAATCCTTCTCTATGGCCACATCAAATTGAAACACCGGTTCCCGTAGTTAGTATCACTGACGTTAAGGAACGACGAGCCTGGTCAGTACCTAGATGGGTGACCGCTTGTGAATACCGGGTGCTGTAAGCTTGGATGTGCGGGTGGTGTAATGGATGGGTCGACTCTGACTTGAAAATCGGGAAGCCGAGTTCCGACTCCAGTCGTGTTCGTTATTGAATTACATACAAATACCCTTAGCCTTTGGAGAGGTATGAATCCACCTCTTTTACCCCCGCCTCAGCTATTGGTTAATTAGTAAAACTTTTGTATCAGTAAACTATTATTAACTCCAAAAAATTATTACAATCTAAAATATTTTCTGGCTTTAAATAAACTAAAATAAAGCCGTAAAAACCAAATCAATCAATTCTCTTAAAACATGTATTCAGGAAATTTGGTTTCTCAAGTCTAGTTATTGCTCTTTCCAGTATTGATGGGGAGGGGTTAAGTTAATGTTTTGGTGTTGTGGTGTTGGGCGAAACTTTCCTTAGTACAGCCTATTCGATGTTCATTTTCCTTATCTCCTATGGTAATGGTAATTAGCCCTTTCCTTATAAGGAAACATTCGGCATTCATTGACCGAGCAGCCAGTGCTGTTTTCAATTGAAATTTAAATCTTACTTCTAAAACAATTTTTCGGGAAACTTTAAAATGGGTTTCTCAAATCCAATAGTTGTTATTTCTATTTTCAGTTTTGATAGTGAGCGTTCCTTCCTAAACTTTTATTTGGAGTATTGTGGAAGATCAACGTCTTGATTTATATGTTCTATATTTCTGAGATGAGGTATTATGTACACTATTTACATTATTCGAACTATTGTCCTCATCTTCTTCTGCCTTCTTCGGGTGGTTGGAATATCAAACTGAGCCCTTTATTTCACTCACTGGGGTAGACTGTTCTAGTTCCATGTGCCATGTCTAATGGATGTCAGTTATGTCCTGTTAAGGAATCAGCACATATACTAGGCCACAAAAATCTGAGCCGAACAAGCATAGAAATGAATATAATATGGGAACCAGTAATAAGGAGTGCTAGAGAAAAGCAATAATAACAACAAAAATTGCAATATGAGCTCTGGTAAAAAAATGAAATGATAACAGCAAAAATTGCAATATAAGCACTGGTAAAAAACGGTTGCTGAAGACATTAGGCTTATAAGACCCAGAAATTCATACACAGATGTCCTCAAGGATACATGGTACAGTGGATAAAGGCGTTAGTTAGATTCAGTGACAGGACCCAAACAATGTGAGTTCAATACCTGGTTAAGTAAGGCATTGGAGAACTTTCAGAGGGGAATTAACAGGAGATAACTGACATCCATTAGACATGAACTAGAACAGTCTACCCCAGCGAGCAAAATAAAGGATTCAGTTCGACATTCCAACCACCTGAAGAAGGCCGGAGCGTACAACGTCCAAAACATTGTGATAAGCATGGCGACAAAGATGAGGACAATAGTCCGAATAATGTAAATAGTATCTTGATTTATGTCATTATTTTCTCTTTGGGTTACATAAAGTAATGTGCCATTACTTTATAGTTAATAATGAAAAAAAAACTTAATTGAAATTAAAATCCTTATTTTTATAACGAGAGAGCTGAAGTAAAAAAATCATTTATTCACTTAACGAGAATATTGTTTCCTTGTGCAAATGTCGATTTTCTTGTAAAATAAAATTCTTTTTCTGATGACGTTGGATCATTAATGACAAAACATGTCAAAATGGAAGTTTTCCAAAGTGTTCAATATAGTTACTATGATTAAATAAGCAGGGCCGATGCAAGGGTCTTATGCGTATCTATGATACGCTCCGTACTACATCTCAATTTTCATAAGGTAGGTATTCAATTCATATAAAAATAAAATACATATTTTATTGTAACCTAAGTATATACAGTAATGGATCACCTGCAATATAGGTGAACAATTCAACTAGAAAAATTGAAAATAAATACAATGTATCTAAATACAAATTAGACTCTAATTATTAGAGATATGTCATAGTTCATTCCATCTTCCATATAATGCGAATGCCACTATGTCACCCTTTTTCACTTAAAGGGACACAACTCTCTAACTTTCAATAGCTCATGTTACAGAACTTTTGGATTTTCACGTCTTCCTTACTGCGATTTTTTGCAACGAATTTTTTTGTACGATAATACTTTTTATAACTTGGAAATGAATTTGGGAATAACCGAAATGAATTTGCGAAACCCAGCGAAAGTCACCTGTGGAAATAAAAATAATTGTTTGTACGGAAAGTAAGGACCTACGTAACATTAAATTGTTTTTAAGTGGCGACAGAAGAATTATCGTTGAACTTTTAAATATTAAATTAATACAATACTTAAATGCAGCGATCAATTTTGAGTTTTTCTGTAGTTTATTGTTGCCTATCGCATACGGTAGCAGTATTCCTCACAAAAAGAACTCCCCATCAACAGAAGACCATATTGCAATCAAAAGAGCCAAGGCTGCTTCGAGAAAAAAACAATCCCGTGAAATGAAAACCCAGATCAAACGGCAGCCAGGAGAGTTTCCAATGCTGAGAATATGCAAAGACTTAGAGACTCTCAAACTCCTGAACAAGCCGAAGTCCCAATCAAGAGCCCTCCACATGAACTAGTAATTAAATAAATCAACAATGTTTTGCGTAGGTACCGCCACTAATTCGCGATATCTAAGGTTTAAAATGATTTTTATGAATGAAAAAGGCTTTCATTTTAGCTTTTTAATTGAAAGCCAAAGGATTTAATTTACTATTTCCAGTAAGCAAAACACTCTCTGGTGGAATCTGTTTTTGCGGTAATTATCAACTTGAGGTTCTTTCTTGATTAAATTTTAACGTTGAAAAAATTTAACATATTCAATATTAAGGACAAAAAATGGTGAATTTTATTTTTTTTATTTAGTGTTTTTCACGGATTTGGACGAAAAAAATAAAAAGACTCCCAAAATGACGTCAAAATCCGCGAAAGTTTTTCTCATCCATTTTTTTAAAATAAGTCAATTGTGCTTAGTTTACTGTGTGTAAGGTAGAGAGAAAAAAAAGAAGCAAATATTGGTAAAATAGCGAGGGTCACAAAACTACCCGGGGCTCCAAATCAGGCTCTCTCCCACCCCGTCAGGTAGGGCTCGAGGGTAAGTACGTGCCGGCCCTGTCTATAAATCATAATTTTATAAATAATTTATAATAAATTCAACATCGCAGTTTAAATTTTTTTTTTTTTTTTTTTTTTTTTTTTTTTAAATAAAATTTGCTAATTTTAATTTTTCGTTTTCAGTGAAAACGCCATTTTTTTTTTTTTTTTTTTTTTTTTTTTTGAGTTAAGTCTCTTCTCTCTTCCTACGTTTTTAGGAGAGGTGAGGATTTAAAAGTTCACTCACTGTTGAAAGTTTGAAGCTCGCAATGTACTGTAAATTATGAAGAAAAAAGAGAATAAAATTTTTCATCTTTTTTTTTTTCTTCTTCTAACTAAAAAAAAAACTCATTTGCAATGTGAGTTGTGGTAAAAGTTAATGAAAACCCAGGAAAAAAGTAAAACTTTTTCCGACTTTTAACTCTCAACGTCTAATTTCTTATAGTTTTTAAAAGTTAAAGAAGCCGTTTGTTGTCAAGCTGTAATGAAATTTTCTCCCTCTACCCGAGTTAGCTTCTAAAACTGTTAAAAAGATTTACTTGACATTTACAAAATATAATTTGATTTTGATTGCTTCTTTTTTTTTTTTTCCTTCTCTCAATGATTTTATTTTTATGTTAGAGAAGAAACAACTTTTATTTTTCTAACTGGTTTTCTAAAAATCTTGGAATTTAATTTAAGTTTCTTATTTTTAAATCATTCTCACCGTGCCGTCACTTTTTTTTTTCTTTTTTTTTAATTTTTCTTATTTAAAAAAAATAATTCTAAATGCTCCAAATTCTTTTGTAGGAGGAATATTTTAACAATCTATTTTGATTTTTGACGGAACAATTTTTTCTTTTCTTTTTTATTTACATTATTTATTATTTACAAACATTCTTTGGACTGTTGCCCTCATCTTTATTGCCATATTCACGACGTTTCGGCCCTTGTACGCTCCGGCCTTCTTCAGGTGATTGGAATTTCGAACTGAACCTTTTATTTCGGAAAGTAGATTGTTCTAGTTCCACGTGTCATGCCTCTTCTGGGTGTCTCAGTTATATCCCTTTAACTCAACTCTTCAAGTTTTCTGCAGTAGCCAGGTATTGAACTCACAACCACTGGGCCATGTGTCTTTGAGGACATCAGTGTATGAATTTTTGGGACTTATAAACTTAATGTCTCAGTTATCATTTTTTACCAGAGCTCATATTGAAATTTTGTTATTGTTTTTCTCTAGCACACTGTATTACCGGTTCCTATATTGTATTCATTTTTATGCTCGGCCACCTTAGAAGATTTTTGTGGCCTAGCATATGTACTGATTCCTTAAGTTTTCATATTTTCCAGTGATGTTCTCTGTTCATTATTTCAACCTCATCCCACAGGGAGCGGTGATCTCCCTTTTCCCTCCATATGTGGTCAGCTATACCTGATTTTCTTTTCACCCCAAGCAAAACAATAAAGCCACTAAGATGCAGGGATATATGAGAAAAATGCTATTAAGGAGAGAAAGCAATAAAAGAATGAGAATTAAGTTGATAGAAGATAACAATTGACATTGCATTTAAATTTTTTAAGATCAAAGTTGACTGGGAAGCGGGAAGAAAGTTCCACAATTAAAAAAGAAACTGTTAGCATAGAACTTATGGTTACATCTCGTCATTTCAACTGTAAAATGACAAAACCTTGTTAGGACCAATAACATTGCAGATTCTTTTTGGATTTTATCAAGAATCTCTAAATGTATAGCAGGAACACCAGACCAGATGTTGCAGTAATATTCAAATTAATAATAAAATTCTATAAACTGTTCAGAAAAAAAAGCAACTCCATGCATGAAGAGGAAATAAAATGTAAATAACTTTCTTTTTTTACATTTTTATCCCTGGGAGCATTTTTATTATATTTAATTCCATTAAGATCACTTAATAGGGTCTCGTAACCTATTTTAAGGCATG